TTCATCTGGTACACCTGAGACTAACACATCTAGAAAAACATTATTATACCATAACTGATATCCAAGGTGAGGGCCCATTCCTAGCTGTACTAGTGCCTCTCAAGGATACTCCTCAGGATTGAGAGATCCTTGCCACTACAGATTCGTGGCAAGTGACTACAGTGCACTCTCTATCTCTTTTGAACTTGTAAATGTAGCTGTGCAGAAAATCCCTCAGTCATAAACCGTTGACCAGGACTGGGACTAGCATTGGATCTAGCCACACCCAGACTCCTCCCAGAAGCAGTTTGGAAAGCAAGGAGGTCCAATCTATACCCCGTGACTCAACGGGAGGGTGTCCTTGATAATTCTGTGTGTATCTTGAACTTCCATGCAGTAATAAGTGACCTTGCCATAGAATCTTGTGAAACCATTTTCCATATCAATAAAACCTATTACTGTTTCTTTCACATGAGTGAAGTGCATTGTGTCACTCATCCCCCCCACTCATTTCTGTCACTCATGAGTGACAACTGTCACTCATTCTGTGATACCTGTAATCTATCTGTCTATCTATCTATCTACCAATCTATCTATGCATCCACATGTCCCTCTCCTAGTATGTCTAAGTCTTCCAAAAGAGTCGTCACAGGGACTTTAGAAGCTCAGCTGTGTAAGGCTTACTGAATTGCCTGTCATTTCTATTTCTCTCTTTATGGATCATCTTTGCTCTTTTACTATTCTAACTACTTTTTTGCATAAGATCCTTCATCTTAGGTCCTTTCTATTTCCACCTAGGGGGCCATAGTGCCCCATAGGGCAGAATTGTCACTGGAGGTATCTGAAATGAGTTGACTTTCTGTCTGCGTCTCTGCTCTTTCACCTTAAAATCTGTTTCATATTTCTATCTATCTTTCTCATTCCCATGATCTTAAGCCACACACACCGCTTGTTGTGCCTGACAGTCCTTAACTCACTTCTTATCCTCCTCAGGATGGCACAATAATTAAATTAGAGAACTAAATTAGAGAATTAAATAGACCTCTCCATCATTATTTACCAAAAGGACGGGAACAATCCCACCGATACTGCCACCACACAGAGACAGGCATTTTTCTCTGACTGTCTTTCATCTGAAGCTCTGCAAACATGGATGCCTTTCCTAGCCTTTCAATAACATGTACTTAATCACAGAATCACAGAATGGTTAAGGTTGGAAGGGATCTCTAGAGATCATCTAGTTCAACCCCCCTGCTCCAGCAGGGACCCCTAGAGCACGTGGCACAGGGTGGCATCCAGGCAGGGTTCGAAGATCTCCAGAGAAGCAGACTCTACAACCTCTCTGAGCAGCCTCTTCCAGGGCTCTGTCACCCTCACAGTAAAGAAGTTCTTCCTGACATGAAGATGGAACTTCCTGTGTTTCCATTTGTACCCATTACCCCTTGCCCTGTCACTGGCCACCACAGAGAAGAGTTGGGCCCCATTCACCCCTCAGATACTTGTACATGTTGATGGGATCCCCTCTCAATCTTCTCTAGGCTAAACAGGCCCAGCTCGCTTAGTCTTTCCTCATATGACAGATGCTCCAGTCCTTTAATCATCTTTGTCGCTCTGCACTGCACGCTCTCTAGGAGCTCAACACGCTTTTTGTCCTGGGGAGCCCAGAACTGCACCCAATACTTCAGGTGAGTCCTCACCAGAGCTGAGTAGAGGGGGAGGATCCCCTCCCTTGACCTGCTGGGAACACTCCTCCTGATGCTACCTTGCTTCACACAGCTGATGGCATAAATGAGATAGGGTGAAGCAGCTTGCCTCCCTCATGGCCAGAGGGTCTCACAGCCACTGCTGTTTTATTGCAGGAGAGATTCCTCATGAAGTCCATATGACATTATCAAGAGGCACCTCAGCAATGGCAGTTGACAAGCAGACGTCATTCTGTGCACAGGCAGCATTTGTTTACAAGTCTTTCTTTCCAAGAAGTGTTTGCACCTTATCTGAGCTTTGAAACTGAAATCTTGCAGCTGTATATTTCCTCCCACATTTGAAACCAAAGACTGGGGTCATCTCCACTGTACAGTTGCCATAGCAGGTGCAGTTTGATATGCAACAAGCTCATATGCTTCTTCTGTGGGGGGCACCACAGGCACAGGGGCATCCTGGACATTTCAGTGCACCGGAGCTGTGTAATAATTGAGCTAAAGTAACAAAATGAGGTCCCTGATGGTATGGTGAGATGCTTCCTGCTCAGTCAGGCTAGTACTAAGGACACTGATGTGGATCTCTGGCCAGAGACTGGCAACCCTCAGGCACTCGCTGGTGACCTCTGGGCTGGACTCTTCACACCCTGTTACACAGCTGGAGATGTCCTTTCTTTTAACCCTATCTCTCTGACTCTAGCTCAGGTTTAATGTTCAGAATCCTTGGATTCACAAATGTTTCTCTCATCTATCTGCAAAACCTTCTCACCGTTTTTAGCATTTCCTGGCCTAAGTCCTTCTCCAGCCTGCAGTGGGTTTTCTGCAAATGTGGCCCCATATACTTGCAAACAGACCTGTCACTGGATTTGCTCAGATGAGTCACTTCCTTCTTCTGTACCAGTCCGCATCCGGGGAACTTGTTTTCTTCTTCTCTGACTCTTATCATCTGCTGAATGCAACAGGTGAACATGTTACTACTGACAGCTCTTATGGCCTCACTGCTTTGGTCTCGTAAGTCCTGTCTTACTTCCTTAGCTTTCTAACAGGTGTTCATGGTTGCACTGAATGACATATTCCCAAATCCCTGAATTATAATGGATTCTTTCTTTTCTTCTTTTATTCTTCCTAGATGGATTTGCTCAAGAAATTCCTCAGCAGAGCCCTGTATCTATCACCAAGGCCCGAAAAAGTGCACGCATGAGCTGCGAAATTACTACCTTACTGGAAAGTTTTGAGAGTACTGTCATACACTGGTACCAACAGAAGGACGGAAACCCCCCAAAGAGGCTACTGTACTTCTCACAAGGGAAGACTTTTGTTGAAAGTGGCTTTCAACAGAACAGGTACATGGCTGAAAAAGTTTCTGGCCAGGATCGGTGTGTGCTTACAATAAAAGATGTAACCCCAGATGATGCTGCCACTTACTATTGTGCCTACTGGAACGCTCACTGTGGTAGAAACTCAGAGATCAGTTATACAAAACTCTCTCAGCATCTGAACTTCTAATGGTGTGAAACCACAGTCACTTGCCTCATCTGAAAAGACGTATCAGCTGGAGAAAATCCAAACCATTCTGTGCTACCTATGCACAGCTGTTGTTTTGAAACATGTGCCGTCGTTAGCACTCTGATCATCAAGCACGCATGTACTTTATTTTAGGCACAGGGAAAGTCTTTACTGCCTTAGGAATTAGCATATGAATAGAGGGAACTCACTGGCTCCTTCAGTGCGGTTTGCACAATCACAAAAATGTGGCAGTTCTGGAGGGAAGCAGTAAAGCCTGGTATATGCTCAGTATATCAACTTTTTTATATACCAGAGTAGGCACAAATGATGGGTAACACCAGTAATCTCAGTCTTGAAAGTCTTAAACATAAAGGGAAGTTTAGGCACCCAAGTGCTCACTGATTTCACTGAATTCTATTGATATCCTCAAGGCTAGTCAACGGCACAATACTCAAGCTCTTAGCCAGAAATGGGTGCTCTCACATGCCTGTGTTGCTGTGCTGTCTTTACTCACAGTATCCCATGGCAATTTTCCGTAGTGCTTCTTAATTCCGTGGATAGTACCTACTTTTTGCTGTTTTCTGCCTTCCCCATGCAGTGACTTGTGGTACCCATTGCTCCGGCACTTCACTTGGATTTTCTCACCTACTTTTCTCAGGACCTTTCTCCAATGTTCAGGATTTGATCTCAGGAGGCTTCCTGAGCCGGGATCCATCCTCACCAAGGCAGCTGCTGTTATCATGCCCATTTTGCAATGATGAACTCATTGTGGACCCTGGAAGCACATGTCCCAAGAGGCTTTACCATGGCCAGTGCAGCTTGGTGTGTCACAGGGGACAGCATGTTGGTGCAGCTGGAGCTTTGTGGATGCCATAGCCCCAGCCTGAGAGGTGATCCTCCCATCTCCTTCACCATCATTGGCTCCCCTTATCTCTAGTGCTCCCAGCGCAGAGGATGCATTTCTCTAGCTTAAAAAACAGTGTCACTGACTGCCACCCAAGGGAGACGCCACCTACCCCCATGAGATATTGTTTGGCTTACACTGGGGCTTGTTTCTCTCTCTTCTGACTCTCAGTGGCCGCAGAGCATGACAAGCATGTCGCTGCTGGCAGCTTGTATAGCCACAATGGCCTGGTCTTGTAAGTCCTTCCTTAATTTCTTACTTCAGAGTTGCTCATTGCTGCACTAAAATCCCTGAATTCCAATTAATGCTTTTTTTTTCTTTCCAGGTGGATTTGCACAAGAAATTCCCCAGCAGAGCCCTATATCCATCACCAAGTCTAAAGGAAGTGTACGTCTGAAATGTCACTTTAAAGACTTCTCTGGAAATTTTGAAGGCACCATCATACACTGGTATCAACAGAAGAAGGATAAAGCTCCAGATAGGATGTTCTACCTTATAGGAGAGACAATGACTGTAGATAGTAACTTCCAAGAGCACAAGTATATGGCTGAAAGAGTTTCTAGCCAGAAACTCTGCATTCTCACAATAAAAAATGTAATCACAGAGGATGCTGCTACTTATTACTGTGCCTACTGGTACTACACACTCTGGTAGAAACTCAAACATCATCTAAACAAATACTCCACCAGCATCTGAACCACAAAATATTTGAAAAGATCCCAGTTCATCTCCCTCAGTGTGGAGGAGCAGTTTGCCCTCACATGTTGGTTCTAGAGAACCAAAATATGTTCAGTGTAGGCTGAGATTTCATCCCCAAAAAGCTAGAGATTTCTACTGAGAAAATGAGAAATGCAAATAGTGCAAGGTAACTACCTAACTCAAGGCCAGTCAACCTCTACATTTCAGGTTCATCTCCTTTCATTCAAGCATGCCAGCTGTAAGGATTTGTTTAACAAAAAAAAAAAACAAAAAACAACAACAACAAAAAAGCACTTCTCCATATTCTTGTTCCTCAGCATATTGTACTGAAACTTTTGAAAATCTCCAGCTTGACGAAGAAAACTGAAATAATAAGCTTTAGCGTGAAGGTATGTAAGATTTTAAACAGTGATAAATTTAGTCTTATTTTGTTTTAAAAGTTAGCATCTGCGGGAGGAGGAAGAATTTCTAGTTTTTCTTCCCAAAATATGGATATGGGTGTTTTTATTCATTCTTTTGGCTCTATTTAATCACTTTTCCACATCCTTCTTGCTTATCACTATCTTTGTTTCACTGCCTTTCTGCATGGTAGTGATGTACCTGAATGACCTTCCAAAGTTGGAGACAGCATTACCAAAGAAGAGAGTTTTCCTTGTTTAAGTGTATCCACATTTATATTTTTTAGCTTTTCACATTTATGTCTCATAAGCCATAGATCCCTCGTAATTACTTCCACAAAGTGTAATGTTGGAAGTAAGCTCAACATTAGACGCATGCCTATAGGTAACCAGAATCTGTAAACAGATATGTGCTTTGGTCCAGTACTTACGGCATAGAGGTGCAAAGAAGTAATTCCAGCTAATTAAATCAACTTTCTATTCATACACAGAGTAGATGAGGACTCTTTATGAACCAGACAACTGTCTCTCACTACCATTCCTGTTCATGCACCATAAAGATTTTTAAAATGTCCAAAAGACATAGGAGGGAAAGTGAGTAGGCTTGAATTGTCTATTTGCTGTGGTCATTTTGGGTTCTGCCAAGAGCACATTGCTTCAGAAAAGGTCAGTGTAGGAGCCAGTCTTCCCCTGGTGCCCACAGGACCATGCGAGCTACCAGGAACTAGGGCTCTGTAGCCCTCCCTGTTCAACAGCTGATCACAGCAATCTGCAATCTGCCTCGGTGGCTGAAAGGACTTTTTGCATTTAATTTGCTGCTGCAAAGTCACACTGCTCCTCCTGGACCTCTGCCATCTGCACTTCTGTTCAATTTGACACCATTTCTCTGTGTAACTTGCAACCTTACTTGACCATCAGTATAGTGAATATAGTTAAATCTTTCATCTTTCATTCATTTTCCCATAACTCATTACTCTGTTATGATTAACACCTTCCTGGCCTTGATTAATGTAGTCTTATTATCTCCTTCTTCTTCCCTCTTCTTTCTGACAAACAAACAAGCAAACAAACTTGATCTTCATTTTTATCCAGTGTCAAAAACACCAGTTAACCTAAAGTTAGACATCCCACTTTGGTCCTCTGGTAAGTTTTTGAAATCGCCCTGCCACCTTGCATGCTGTCTGTCATGACCAAAAAATTCACTGACAAAAGTTTTCCTCTGCTGTCAAGCATCAAAGCCCTCTTTCAAATTTTCCTTTGCTGCAGTACCCAGATCTCATCCTCGCTTAGTTCCTTGAAGTGTATCTAATTGAAAAACCTGAATCTGATGAGATTAAAAAGTGCTGCAATTTCAACTCTGTATGAGGTGACCAAAATGGCAATTACGGTAAGAAAAGAGAGTCCTCCCTGACAGAAACACTTGGGGTATGCGATAGCTTTTGTCTCATGCAAATTGAAAGAACTTAATTCTCTCTCTAGTCACAAATATCTTAGTAGTCATAAAGTATCATCTTTGCTTTATTTTTCAGTCTTTTGAGCACCCATTTGGGCACATGTGTATGCCATACATGATCCTGAAAGCACTCAAACTCAGTTTCTATTAATTGGGAAGTTATACACGCAGACTATTTGACTGACAGAAGCTTGGTTTCCCCAGATGTTATCTTGGCCTGTTTTGCAAGAAACCAGTGTGCAAAGGAAAAGGCCTTTTCCCTCATGTTCCGGTATATGTAAAGGTTTGAGTAATCCGGTATTACAGAGACTGGAATGATTCCAAGAGGTGAAAAGAAAATAACTACATACTGAACACAGAAAATACAAGGTGCAGCTTACGGATCCCTTTGAGATGCAGGGCAGAGTGGCTTGTCATGGCTCTCCTTCATTTCCATCTGCTCAATTGTATTAACTTGTAGGACAGCTAAAAATAATTACATCCTAGTAATACTTGATGTTACATAATTGCAGTTGAGAAGGAGTTTATGCCTTTGAGAATGGGCAGGATCACAACCATGATTTTCTAGCATGTGAAACCATATGGACTTTTTTGTTTAAACTTGGAAAGAAGCCTTCACCTAGCTCTCAGACATAACAGAGGTATTATCTAACAATTTTGCATTGCTTTGAGAAAGCGACTTGCTCTGAAGTTCTCATTCTTAGACATAACATAGAGGTATTATCTAACAATTTTGCAATGCTTTGAGAAAGCGACTTGCTCTGAAGGGAATTTAGGGATCTGATGAACAACTGGACAAAAGCCTGAAATACCTGATGTTCTCCAAACAGAAGATGGCCCAGGAATCCTTCCAGCAGTTCCCAAGGACTGGTTGGAAAGTTTTTTTTTTTTTCTCTCCAGTGACAGAACAGAAACAGAGCGCTTCTACTTATTGTAAAGTCAAAATCTACTGTGGATGCGCGTTGGATCAAATACTTCGGCCTGGGCACCAAGCTAATTGTCTCCAGTAAGTACCGTAATTGATATTGTTTTCCCCTGCTAAATGGAGTGCTCCAAAAAGATAAATGAGAAGGAAATAGTGCATGAAAAATAATCTGTGCAAGAGAACTCATGTTTTGTCTGTCATCTATGTATAGAGCTCCCGATGGATAGGTTGATGGGGAAGAAATATGTGGATCTGGTGAATACTGTGCGCACTTTTAGAAGAGTTACTGAAAATGTATTAAGGATGAGGTGATCTTCGTGCTGCTCGAGGGAAGGAAAATGAAAATGCCTGAAATTTACAGAGCAACTGCCAGGGTAGCAAGTGAGAAATATAAAAATTTCTTGTTGCTAGAGCTTGTTCAGTCTCCATCGACTGCAGAGGAAAATTGCTGGGAATGGCACAGACTTGCAGCCCCTGGCTCTGTAAATGACTGGTTTCCTTTTGTATTTGCATTTTGAGTTTGCTGAAGTATTTTATCTCAAAGAATCATTAGTTTTCATAGAATGTTGATATGCAACCGGAGTAGAATGTTTTAGTACTGGCAGT